TTAAAAGTTTCTGCAATTTTTTCAATTTGTTTATCTACAAAGTTTGAAATTTGGACTTATATGGTTTTTGTTTATAAGGAGCTGAACTTAAAAAAAGTAGTAAAAACTGGTAAAAATGTTGATGTGCTATCTTTTTTCGCGGGCTGTATATTTACCACCCTTCGCACCTTTATTTCATACACTTTGAAATATTTTTGCTTCAAGACTGTATGAATTAAGGTGTGAAGTGTATGTATGAACAGCTTCAGGCGCTAAACGGTTAAGTAGTATACCAAGCAACATTGATGGGCCTTCAACAAGTATTGCTAAAAGTCTTAAAAGCAACCTACAAATAATTTTAGATTCCTCCAGTGAAAGCGGAAGGCTCGTATATAGAATCTGGAAACATTAAAAAATGTGAAATTAAGGCTCAATTGAAGGCATATCTTAAAGAAAAACGAGCTCATCTCCGTGAAAATCATCTCGATTTGTGGAAAACTAAACTAAAATACGACAAATTTACAGATCTGGCTCGCAAATGTTTGAGCCTTCCAAGTGAGCAATTGTTCACTGCAGCCTTTAAGAAATCGCCTTATGGGAATAAGGGCAGCAAAATTACTTTTATTTTTATTTTTTTTCTCCTTTTGAACTTTGACTACTAGATTTAAACGCTGTATAGGTACGGTAACCATATTTATGGGAGCCGAATACGGGACAAAAATAATTTTGCGAATTTTTTCCACAAATACTAAAAGATCTTAAAACCATTTTAAACGATCCTAGATGAATTAGCCTTGAAACAACACCACTGTAGTAGCGGCACACATTTGTAGGATACGTTTCTCGAGATTTTTATCCCACAACAGTTTTTACAAAAAATTCTTTAAATTTTAGTATAATGAAGTACAAGCTTGAAGTAGCTGGGACTAATCGTTAATTTTTGGCAACGTTTTTTTTATTTTTGTTTGGTGCTACGCATTTTTTTCATACAAAATTCGAAAATTTGTTAATAGCGAAGCAAATGAGTAGCACGTCGCACTTTATTACACTCATTTCAATGAGCAACAAAACTTCAAGCAAATTTTTTTCTAAATAACTTGTCTAACATACTTTGTATAGCAAAAAATTGGTAACACCGTCAGTAAAAAAACTGCCAAAAATCAGCAATAAGTACTCGCTAACTCAAATTTGCACCTCATTAAACTAGAATTTAATAGACTACAAAACTGCATATCATAATTTGTTCTAAAATTTCATAATTTTTGCACAAAGTCCGAAACTTGGATTTATATGGTGTTTGTTAAGTAATCAGCTATATTTTCATAAAAAATAAAAAAAACATTAAATAAACTAAAGAAAAATAGCCAAAACTTGCTAAAATGTCGCGTGCCAGTGTATATTTGGGTTACTGTATTTTTTCCAAATTTTAGTGTGAAAATTTTTGAAATTGAAATTTTAGTCTAGAAAAAATGATTTCAAGCTACATACCAAAAAATTCCGTTGATTTTTGGCAATTTTTTTGCTGGCAGTGTCCTCTATGTAAAAGAAAATTTTCGAACATACTTTGTATGGAAAAAAAAAAGTGAAACACCTTCAACCAAAAAAAAATACCCAAAAATCAACGGAATTTTTTACCAACTTGAAACGTGCACTTCATTATTCTAGAATTAAATGGACCACAAAACTGCATACGCCGTTTAGGTCGGTGAAATCTCTTAAAAGTTATACGTCGATAGGGCTACACCTGCTTCGCTTACTTCTGCTCAGGGCTGGCATAGAGTCAAACCTACACCTGCTGCGTGTGCCAGAGACGACTACACCATAACTGCACCTCCGTCATGGGCAACTCCTGTAATGGGTGGAGTTACCTCCGAGTTTGCTCAGGCCTCACGACTCACAGAAAGCGGACCACCGCATTCGTGGCCCCTTGCTGCTCAAACCGAGCTGCCTCCACGGCACACCAGAGTCCGCCTGAGCAACTCAACACAAACACAATCGCATCACAACACAATACAATAGACAACACCATAGCCACAACAGACCACACCATAGACACACCCGCACCCCCACCCACACGCCGGCGCCAACAGCTACTGGTTCCTCCGACAATCTGCTCGGTGTGTCAGTCCAGGATATTCCGTAACATTACATCAATCAAGTGCAACACTTTCCTTGGCTGGTATCGCTTTAGGGCAGTGGTCGGCAGGCCATAGCTCACTGAGCGCTCTCTGAGCACATGTGTGCATTTATCGAACACAGTCTCACTTATAGAAGCATTTGAATGTGTTAGAATGCCCGACCACTGCTTTAGGGCATGTTCAAGACTTCGCACCACACGAGATTGGACGAGGGGCTATGAGGGTCCGTGCTGTGCTGCTCGGTCGGAAAGGCCAACTGATCGAGGAGATAACAGTATTCATGGGTCGGCATGGAATATTAATAGCTGCGGTCTAAGAGACGAAATTGCATGGACGAAATTGGAACACTGTTGAACACACTTGTCTGAGCAGATAGACGATTCGACATTCTGCACTATGAACGACGACGCACCCACCAGGATTATGGGCAGCTGATGCAGCTCGCCAGACCTAAAAATTGTCAGCGCTCGTCTGATAAACAGCATATCATGGCGACCTATGCTGACCTTAGCATCAGATCATCTGTCCACAGTCATCTCGTTTGATAAACCTGCCGACTTTGCGTCCGCGGATCACCGGACCTATGTCAACTTCTCCAAAGCTGACTGGAAAGGCTTCGCGGATGTTACTGAGGACGCCTTCACTGCACTACCCATACCAACCGACGTTCATGTAGGTGAACGTAAGTTCCGCAGGGTTGTCACTGCTGCTGCAGCTCGCTTCGTACCGGCAGGATGCATTACGGACCCACGTTCAAATTTCCCTGCCGAAGCGGCTGTTCTAGCCGATGAGCGTGACAGCCTTCGTCAGGCCAATCCCGGAGATCCCCGTATCAGGGGTCTCAACGCGGAGATTCGGCAACTAGTGAACGTACATAAGCGGAAGAAGTGGGAAGAGCATCTGAAGACCTGTAACTTCACCTCTGGTGTGAGTAAGCTTTGGTTAACCGTGAGGTCACTGTCCAATCCGACGAAGCACAACGACAGAGTCGAAATTTCTTTCGGCGACCATGCTTCGTCGGACCCGGAGCGATGCGCGAGCTACTTTAGCCGGCAGTTCATACTGCATCCTCCGGTGGACAAAGCCAAGCGTCGAGTGACCAGAAAGCTGCACAAAATGCCAAAACCTAGTGCGCCTCTTGTTTTCACCAGCGGTGAGGTAACGGTAGCCATCGGGAAGGCGAAAGCCTCCAAAGCCATTGGACCCGACGGAATATGCATGTAGATGCTGAAAAATTTGGGTCCTGCGGGAGTAGCGTACCTAACGGAGGTCCTCAACCTGTCTATGGCCACTCACGTCATTCCAGACATCTGGAAAATGAGGAGAGTGGTCCCACTGCTCAAACTGGGGAAACCAGCCAACAAAGGAGTCTTGTCGCCCGATAACCCTCCTCTCCCCGGTAGCTAAGACACTCGAGGCCCTGCTGCTCCCGTATTTTACGAACCACCTGACCCCAGCGAAGCATCAGCAAGGGTTCCGTAAAGTGCATAGCACAACAACAGCACTTAACGCCATAAACACTCAGATAACTCATGGCCTAAACCGAAACCGCCCCTGTGAGAGAACTATTCTAGTAGCGTTGGACCTGTCCAAGGCGTTCGACACTGTCAGTCACTCAACGCTACTAGAAGACATAGAGGCCTCCTCACTCCCACAGGGACTCAAACGGTGGTCGGCGAATTACCGTTAGTAATTTTCAGAGACAAAACTAGCAAGCCACGTAAAATTAAATATGGGGTACCACAGGGTGGTGTCCTGTCCCCGCTACTGTTTAATTATTACATCTCAAAGCTTCCTCAGCCACCAGAGGGTGTTAATATAGACTCCTATGCTGACGATTGTTCGATCATGGCGTCTGGGAATGGAATTGATGACTTCTGCTCGAAAGTAAACGGGTATCTCGCCGAACTTTCTCGCTTCTTCACTGCAAGGAGCCTTGCCCTATCCCCTGCGAAATCCTCGGCAACCCTTTTCACCACCTGGACGAAGGAGGTCAGACTGAACCCGAAAATCCTCGGAGTTACCTTCGACAGTCTGCTCTCCTTCTCGGCGCATACAACCGCAATTGTCAACAAAGTACAGAGCCGCAACAACGTCGTCAAGTCGCTGGCCCGCAGCACTTGGGGCAAAGATAAAGAAACGTTGGCACTTGGCCGGCCGGTTCTAAACCATGCAGCGCCCGTATGGTCACCGGGGACTATCAGGACGCAGTGGATGAAGCTACAGACCTGCCAAAACACGGCATTACGAACAGCGACAGGATGCCTCCTGATGACGCCCCAACACCACCTACATGACGAGGCCCAGATACTCCCAGTAAAGGAGCATAACATAATGCTCTGCAAGCAGTTCCTTGCTGGGAGCCACAGACGTGGCCATCCCAGCGGTCAGCAGCTCGCGGAAGAGCCCTCGCCACGGCACGTCAGGAGGAATCTTTACGAACTGACGGACGAAGTCCAGAGGTTTATCAAACAACCTCTGAATGATTTATGAATTGATTTATGATTTATATTATGATTGATTTATAACCGATTATTTTTTAATTTTTGCCATCCCTACTTAAAACGTATAGAATTTTTTCGCTAGCTGTTCTCGTTCTCGAGATATTAGAATTTGTCACGAAAAAAGTTCAATTTCCACACTGTGTGCCGTGGAACAACTTTTTGAAATAAACTTTTACTATTATTTTAATGGTCTATAAATTTGGAAAATCGAACCCGGTACCTGCCGAATAATACCACGAGCCACTACGCATTCAGATACGCCGGCAGCTTAATTTAATTACTACTTATCCTAAAAACGAGCCGATTCGTTCGTTTGCAATTTAGTTCACTACATTTGTATATGGATGGATATACATATAAAGTGTGGAAATTTACATACCTTAACCAATGTCTTTTCGTTATACTCGTATGACAACAAATCGCATCGTACTGATCCGCCATCCAAACAATCAAAATTATATAGAACGCAGTTGTTGTGTCGTTGAAAAACTCAGACATAATTGATTCCATACCTTAAAATATAAAGTAAAGATGATATAATCAATTACATACATGCACTATGTATTTAGTAAGTATGTAGCTAAGTTAAAAAGCCTCACGGAATAAAATTATGATACAGTTTATGATTTCTACCGAAAAGTTTCACCTCAATTCAGTTTCATTCGTAAGTTCCAACTTGTTGAAAAATACACCTAAAGGTCGCAATATTTCATTAAAAAAAAATCACAGCGCCCCATATCGATTTTCTAACGGGCATCAGATGTCCTAAAAATGAGTCTTGAAAATTCCAAATTAAAGTGCTTCAATTCTGAACGGATATATTCATACCAATGGGATTTTCTAATGAAAGCCCAAATAGAATAACTCTTTCGTTTCTAGGCCGATTTTCAATTTCCAAGCAGAATTCCTATGGAATACTATGGATAATCAGGCAGGTTCTGCAATTCTTTTCCGAGTAAATTTTAACCAAAGTCTCACTTCGAATTCATATTGAAAGGCATTCGGAGGCACTCGGAAGTGAATTGCACAACCTGCCTGTATATAAAAAAAACCTAGCAATAGCGCATTTATTGAGTGATCTACTCTTCACAACCCTCCGTCAGTCCTACAGTCCAATTTGTATTTTTTGTTTTATCAAAATAACCAATTCAAATCCGACATTGTTACGGAAATTTTTGAGGCGCAAATGATCCATTTTCCTAAAGGGTGTAAAATGTAATCTCATCAATGTTTTTAGGCGATAATCAGTTAAATGACTGAATTATTAACATTTCCATTAAATTTACGTGACGAAATTATATTTAATTGCAGCATAAAGTGTATTATTTTTACCAGACTGTAAATAAGTGTTATTTAAAAAATTTTTAAATTCTTCAGGATTTCCCGGGACTTTTCGAAAATCTTCGTGTTTTATAGTTTCGATATTTTTCAGACCTTTAGATATGTTTTCAGAAAACTTTCACGCGTAAAGAGCCCAACAGGCCATGCAATATAATCTTTATCGAAACTAAAATGCGAGTTAACTTTCTACTGCGAAATCCGCACTAAACAAAACTTTATCTGATGAAAACAAAGCATGCGTGAACGTGCATGACCGGAAACCGAAAAATTGCATATCAGCACAAGCCCTGCTTTGTGTTTTTTATTACGTGGCTTTGAATTTGGGACTACGGATATATTAAGATATGAATATAGCTCTTAAACACCTGAGTTTCATTTACTTACCAACTAAGGCTAGAATTACTGTAAGTAGCGGGGCTATTGGAAAACGTGCAGTAACATTGAATTCCAGCATTTGCAAGAGATCAACTGCAAAAAATAAACAATTAACATGTGTGGAAAAATTACTTCGAATGTAATATACTTACCAATAAAAACGAAAATTTGGTGATGTGAAAATCGTAAAAGCATCGAAATAGAGAAGGTCTGCAAAGAAAGATGCATTACATACATATATTACTATACTTAGCTTCGGGATTAAAATTTCTTAAATATATAGACTATCATTTATGAGCATTTACTCAAATTAAAGGTGCAGAAAATACTTACAAAAAGCACCATTACAAAAAATGCGGTTAGGTATGAACTCCACGCAGCCCACCACATTGAGACAAAGCGATAATGTTCGCCGGTTATGACATTTCGCAAATACCCTTTATTATCCTCTTTTTCGGCTATTACTCGCACCGATGCCATTAGCAGGTCATCATATCTGTAAAAATATAGCATTGTTTAGGACAAAAATTCTACAGATATACATTTCTGTGACAACATCAAGGCGCACGCCACCACCAATGGGAGGAGAAACTAGGCCAAAAACTAACATATTATGTAGGCGCCAGTAAATTATTATTATATATATGTATCCAGAACTTTTCTTACCCCAAAAGCTGTTTAAGTAAAAATTTGCTAAATTTATCGCCAAAACATTTATCAGTCATTGGATCCAATTGTACTACGCGTACGGGTATTTTCAAACGTTTACGCGTTGATGATGATAAACGCAAGTGCCCATATTCTAATGAATACTCCACAATATACTGCTCATCTAAAAAGTTATTCATTTTATATTTTGCGGAAATCAAGAGTTAAATCATTTACCGTCGTCGGTTTCCTGCTTTTCCACTTTCTCTTCGATATCGTTTGACGCCCCAGCTTTTTCAGATATCGCCTCTGTTTTAAAGTAGTAAATTAATGTCTCATTTGCGTAAGTAAATGTAGGTCGCAATTGATAACCAGCTCGAGTTAGTTTGCGTTCATATTCCTTTAAACGATAATGGTTTACTTTAGTCTGAGGCCCAATACCATAATGACTAATATTAGAAGAAAAAATCAAATTTAGTTAGCCTTAGTATCATGGTAAAGAATTGTATAGCTAGTCTTACTAGTAGTTTTGAAGGTAACGAACTAACTGTTCATTGGCTTTGGTTTTAGACATTAAATCACGATGTTTCTCTAGATTTGGAATTACTTCAACTCTAAGAAGAATTTGAAAGGAAATATTACTTGTATCCTGATATTAAATTTTAATATTCACCTTAAAACTCCATCTCGAGGCCAATCTTTTACGTTTTGCAGACAGGTTGCCGGGTTTTTAATGAACGCCAGGTGAATATAAACCAAAGCGAAGAAGAATAAAAGTGCTTTAAGTAAAATGAAGTACTCTAAGGCGCGCTGAAGAGGCCTCGAAAATAAAGTAAAAAAATGCTCTTACTTATGTATTTATGTATGCTTGTAAATCGAAAATGGCTCAAATGAAGATGTTTTAACTTACTTTGGAAATATTTGTGCATACATAAGGGCAACCTTAAAGAAAATTGCATGAAAGAGTCGATCACGTACGTTCATCAGGTTGTTCTGTAATTAAATGTGTAATAAAATTTAAATAAGAGAAATAAATAATACTACATATTTTATTTTTACAGCTATGAAATTTTTACACCGCATAGAACAGGTGGTTTCAGTCGTTTCTGCATACTTAAATTAAGTTTATTTCTATTTTTTGATTATTACACTCTTTCAGCAAATGAGCGATATGTATTGTCCTTAAAAAAAATGCGTTTCATAATATTAAATAAACAAAATAAAGTGTTTTAGTGTTTGACATGTCTTCTCGAGTTGATTTGGGAACTGGAAGTATTAGTTAAAAAATTTGAAAAATATCCTTTGAAATTTGTATCATTTAATATGCTTATATAAATTCGTATAATTTAAATTAAATTAAGATTCTTCAAAATGCATTCAAAATTAAATATCTTGAAGGATAATTTTTTCAAAGGACTTTTTTGACATATTTCAAAAGGATAATTGAAAACAAAAGCTATAATTAATTTTGTTTCGAGTTTTTCTTTCAATTGATACCCATATATCCATAGTTTGTGCAAGCTTTTTAAAATATATTATAATTTAAGATCCTTTGGAAAAAATCCTGACTACCTAGTAAAAAAACAAAATCGCAGATTTACTAAATATTATGCCCTAATTAGTAATGCCATTTTATAAAGAAGTAAAACGGGTAAATTAACAAAACACGCGAACTGCAGAAAGCCTATTCTGATAACTTTAACTGCAAGTCGGCACGGGTTGCCGTGGTCCGAATTGCATAAAGTTTGATTCCGATATAGTTTTTAATACAAAACAAATAAAATGAGGGGGTATGCGGTGAAAAAACAACTTTAGGTTTTTGGGGAAGTCTTAATGTGTACATGTTTTCTGCTTTTTATGATTAAATAGGAAACTTTAAACGCTTCCTGAAAAATTATCTTTTTTGAGATGTGACAGTCTTTTAAAGTCATCTTCAATATAAAATTGTCAAATTTAATACAGCTCCGCTAGGCTATTTTTGTAAAAAGTGCAGACAGGAGATGTGTATTGTAATTTCTGGATACCTAGATGTTTCATATGCTGTACACATCGCTCCATGTTCATCCTTGCTTAACCATCATTCAATAAATTTTACAAATATGTAGTTATAAATTTTCATATTACATACTAGCAAATATACATATTTTAAACAAGGTGGTAGGCAGTCATGAATTAATGGCGGTTTCGTTTCTACCGAAACATGTTACCTTCTCTTTGCCTTCTACGCACAAATACCAAGAGGGCAATGAGAAGGCAAAATTTTTTGTAGGAAAGAAAACGCCATAAGATTTCGAAAATTTATGTTTTACTCACTTGCCCACCACGATTACGATTATTGTTAAAGTTAAATGGATTTGCAGTTAAATCGACATTCCAAACATTCGCAATATTCGGGACGTTCACATTTGGAGTGGGAGGATTATTTACGCCTGCCTGCTGTTGTTGAGGCGGTGATGGCGCTTGGTCTGGGGTTTCCCCTTCATTATGGCTATTGTCTGCCATGGTATAAACCGCAAACCAATTCCTTTCGATACACTGTCTCCTTCTGTAAATTCGGCTGGTATGGAGACCACAAATAGTTAACCGCTTCCCTCAGCTACATAAAAACTATCTTTGTCTGGTAGAACTCAAAGCTTCTTCCAATATTTATTTTCGTTGTGTCCAGGAAACACAATTGGCTGTATAGCGACTTCTAGTGATGATGTGGTGGCACAGCTGATGATTCTACGCCTCAAGCAAAAGTCCAAAAGGAGCGTCAATAAACGTCTGCCACACGGGTCTTGGTGGCATTTTCCGAATAAACCGGTAAAACTTTAGAGATTTTGCAGTATTTTTCACAAATTTTGCAGTTAGGCAATAATAAATCAAGCACAAATTTTTCACTGGACGTCTCTTCTAGAGCTGCAAAACTATCGATTGTACTATCATCGATTGTCTTTGGGCGATAGTCGATAGTTTCGACACTGCCGGTGCATTGAAATTTTGTGATTTTTACTTAAATAAGTGATGCTATAAATTGAACTAAGAAAAATATTTCGAATTTCATGCTTAAGATGTAATATTTGTACTTACCTATGTGTAATATTTATATTTACATATGTACATATGTATATATTATACACATTTTGTTCGGAGTTCAAGTTTTCCTACATATACAACACGATTGTATACGATACTATCGAAAATATCGATAGTATTTTTCAAACTATCGAAACTATCGAATGGCATCACTATCGATAGTTTTGCAGCTCTAGTCTCTTCTTTACCTGATTAATCATTCACAATAATAACATAGTTTGTGCAGACTATATTTGTTTCAAACAAAGAACGTACGTCTGAGACATATCAGAGAACGTAAATATATGAAAAGGCGTTACGCAAGCCATAAACGCTGGTTCAACTTGATGAGGTTGTGATCAGCGCTGCCAGAGGAGGAATTTTTCCCGTTTGGCTTGAATAATGCTCATGAAAACGGAGAAAATCACATACCCTACCGGCAAAAGGTATTGGCACAGCAAATTTTGGCTTAAATATAGAATACCTACAATTTCAAAATTAAAAAAATATATATTAGGATCGATAGGGGTCTTAGTCCTGATCATAACGGTATAATTGTGTGCGGGAAATAATAATTACTGGTGTTATTGAAGTTCAAAGTAGAGAAATGTAAGTATTCTGCACTTGTTCCCAAATTTTTCACAATATATGCAACAATTTCTTTCTAATATTTTTCAGCCAATTTTTTATAAAAATTTGCAAAATTTCATGCAAATCCGGTTTTTTTGAATTTTTTTGAGTATGCAGATTTGTACCCCAATCAATTTTATTATAATAAAGTACAAATTTTAAGTAGCTAGGAATCACCGTTGATTTTTTGGCAATTTTTTTACGCAGTCTCTTTCATACAAAAATTTTTTTTTAATTACTTTATATAACACAATATGTGCAACAATTGTTTTTCTAATATTTTTTAGCCAATTTTTTATAAAAATTTGCAAAATTTCATGCAAATTTTAAACTTTTTTTGTCCGGTTTTTTGAATTTTTTTGAGTATGCAGATTTGTACCCCAATCAATTTTATTATAATAAAGTACAAGTTTTAAGTAGCTAGGAATCACCGTTGATTTTTTGGCAATTTTTTTTACGCAGTCTCTTTCATACAAATTTTTTTTTTTTATTACTTTATATAGAAAAAATACAGAGCACCCTGCTGAAGTCTAGAAAAAGAAGTCTGATGAGGAGATGTGGTGATCTCCGAAATAGTGCTATAACTTCTACCGCTTAGACTTTGTTGCTTTTTCAATTTTTCCTAATAAACAATCGCGGTACAAAGCTCCATAAAAATATTAAAAAAAAAAAAAAATTCTCGTTTTTTATTAGAATGTAAAACTGCATACTCGAAAAAATTCTAGAAAATATGGTTAAAAAGTTGAAATTGTTCATGAAAATTTGTTGAATTTTCGGGAGTTTTACACAAAGTTTAGGAATTATATGTTTATGTTTTTTGTTGTAGAATGAACCATATCTTTAAAATAAAATTGGCGGAAAAATATTAGAAAAAAAATGTACGCATAGATATATTGTGAAAAATTTGTTTATTCCGGGAATAACTAATCTGTCTGAATCGGGCAAATAAGGCAGTTATTCCATGTTATTCATTAAAAATTCACTACTAGGTTGTTTAATTACTTAAAAAAAATATACAGGTAAAAAATTTTAACAGTTTTTTTAGTTTGTAATTATCCTATTTAATCCAATTCAGGTGAAATAATGGTGCGTTCTTATCCAACCGTGTTCAACGCATTTACGAGGAAGACCAAAACAATAGATGGCCATACATGATGTTGGAACGAAGAAAAATACACTCCAGGGAAGATTTTGACTTTTTCTTCCCCTTCCCAATGACAAAGGCAACATTTGTGGGCGTGCTAAGCTTGGGTTCGCCTTATGTACATGCCAGAAGTACTACAAAGGTATCAGAAGCTGCATTAAGTCCATACATTGATTCAAAATAATTTTTATGTGTAAGACAACGATATCTCCAACATGAAGTTCAGTCACTGAGCACATTTCGTCCAATTTTTTTAAATATCCGTAACTTTTCCAAATGGGCCGATTGTTCTTTTTTAATTTGTGTTTTTAAAAATTCTTATCGACCTTCTTAAACTATTTTATGTTTTTTTAAACTCACTCATTCCGCAACAACTGCTGGCGTACGCCGACGACATCGATATTATCTGTAAAAACAAGGGCTACGTCTGTTTTGCCTTCTCGGGATTAGATAGAGAAACAAAGCGAATGGGTCTCGTGGTGAACGGAGACACAACGAAGTATCTCCTGGCATCACACAAACAGTCAGACCACACGCGTCTTGGCGCACACGTCACTGTTGACATTTACAAGTTTGAAAAAGTAGACGACTCCGTTTATTTGGAAACCAGCATTGACACCAATAATAATGTCAGCCTTGAAATCCAACGGAGAATCACTCTTGCCAACAAGTGCTACTTTGGACTGAGAAGCCCAATTGGGAAGAAAAGTTCTCTTTCGTCGTACAAAAATCACACTCTACAAGTCACTCATCATGGCTGTGCTGGCCTATGGCGGAAAGGCATGGACAATGACAGCGTCTAATGAGGCGGCTCTTGGAGTTTTCGAGAGAAAGATTCTGCGAAAGATTTACGGACTTTTACGCGCTGGCTATGGCGAATACCACAGGTGATTTAACAATGAGCTATATGAGCTTTACAACGATATGGACATAGTGCAGCGAATTAAAATTCAGCGGCTCCGCTGGCTTGGCCATGTCTTTCGAATGGACAGAAACGCTCCTGCTCTGAAAGTGTTTAACGCGAGCCCGCGATGCTGGTAACAGAGAAAGGTGAAGGCCTCCTCTGCGTTGGAAAGACCAGATGGAGAAGGACTTGGCTTCACTTGGCATTTCCAATTGGCGTCAGTTGGCACAGCGTGCTGTTTTGGATTCGGAAAAATCGCCTAAGCGGTTACAGCGCCACTAAAGAAGAAGAAGAAGAAGGTCGCAACTTCTGGGCCTAATGGTATAGCAATGGGCTCTATTTTTTCGAATTTTTAAATTAATGAAATACTAACACATTTTGTCCAATTCAACTCAGGCTAAGTCAAATCAAATATGTACGTTAACACTTAAGTGATAAAAATACCAAATTGCAGAGGAAGAAATTATCTACATATTTCCAGAGAAACTTACTACGCTGCGACTTATCCCTATCACGTGATCAATTGTTTTCGTCTTCCTTTACGTTTGACCACACGCTTGGATACTTGTACATGGCGTGTGAGTAATGTGAACAACTATTTGATAGTTCAAAGAAGTACAGGTTAGGTTGGGTTAAGTTAACGCCGCGAGCCAATTACGAAATTTCGAATGCGGCTAATTTCGATCCCTGAGACCTCAGTGGTTGTTCAGAAGTGCGAGCCAAAATGCTTCCATCTTAGCCTTGTGAAGGTTGGACAGTCTAAAAGAAAGTGTGGAAATGATTCCACTTCAACTTCGCAGTTCAGTCGCAATTCTTAGTCTCACCGCATGAATACCAATCTCACAATGGCCTGTCAGAACCTCTATCACTAGCCGTGTTTTAAAGTACCCTATAAAAACCGTTTTGCTGCAGCAGAGAAACGTCTTTTTTTCCTTTTTTATTTCACAAAAGTAGCCGGTTTCCCTCAGACTAATAGCAGTACGTACTGCGATATCCGCAGGTGCCGTTTTCAACATATGTTCGTAGGTGTGGTTCCTAATGCTCCAAGTGTAGCCTTCTCTAGTTAGTTCCACCAGACAAGGGCTTCTTGAAACAATATAGGCTTAAATCTGGTTTCCTAGAGCTAATGAATTCCTTTGGGCGAGAGACCTCACCTTTTACCGATAGCTTCCCTAGAGCACTACAAGACAACCGACACTTTTCCTCAATGTTAGGCTTCAGGTAACCTTGAGCCAGATCAAAAGGGTGTATAGAAATCGTCCCTTAACCAAAAGTTCCACATCATCTACATAGGCGATCACCCGACAACCCACTTTTCCAGTTCCTCTAGAAGGTCGTTTACAACGGCTATCCAGAGCAGGGGAGAGAGAACACCACCTTGACTGTGCGCTGAGTGGAGGCGCTCCTCTCTCACTTGACTATTGCCTCTGAAGCGACATTATTGAAGGCCCCCTCAATATCTAAGAAGGTCCCTACTGAATATTCTTCATGCGTTAAGGCTTCCTCTGACCACATTACCAATGTGTGCGGGGTGGTATTCTCCGACCTTTTCTTGTAATAAGCATATTGAGCTCTCGAAAGGCAGTCACGAGGAATCGCGTTTCATAAGTACAGGTCGATCACACTAGCGTTTTTAGCAAAAACAAAGAGACTGATTGGCCTAAAATCGCTAGGGAAACATGAGAGCATCTTCCGGCCTTCGGGATGAAGGCAACACTGACTAACCTCTAAGCCTTGGGGATGTATCCGGTCCTCACCCAGTTCGCATAAATAGGATCCAACCAATTGCACGACACCTTCAGAGCCGTTTGCAGCCGCGCAAGTATGATGCCGTCGGTCCCCGGCGACTTTAATGTTTTGAACGAATTTATCGCCTAGACCAGAGGTTCCCAAACTTTTTTCCCCATAGACTCCTTTCAAAACCTTCTGGTTTCGGTGGACCCCCAGCTGCTACATTTCTAACATATTCCTAAAGCTCATCAAAAAATTTTAAGACTAGATCTAACGATGAAAATTTGCATCGCGGGTGAGTTCCAAAACTAAATTCCCAGTGGCAAAAATAAAAATAAAATACTTTCTTGTGTTCTCTTTAATAAAACAATGTAATTACACACTTACAAGTTTAAAAAAACAGAGCTCGTAAAGCGACCAAAGTGCTCTCTGGCTGTGAGGAGTTATATTTTTTAAGAGAACTCCGAGCGCTA